AAGCAGTAGGCGATGCGGCTTCAATTCGAGAGAAGACTTCCCGACCCAATTGGGGATGTTGGGCAGAAGAGTGCCAGCAGTATGACTTGAACTTATGGAAAGACCGTAACATACCTGAGCCCATAAAAGAGCGTTTATTGAACCTATTCTCACGAATGGTGAGAGCTTCAAAGCTGTGCAGGTCATTGCTGCCAATGCTGACGTGCGCACAACGTCTGCATCTGACGTATGTTGTGATGCGACTAATTGCACTGGATTTGGGAGCAATTTCGTTAGTGAGAGAGGACATGGAGCCTGCACGGCATAGTGTGGGGGACTCTCTCATTAGCTTGGGTCATGAGTGTCTTGGAGGCAATGGCAGTTGCGCAAAGTATGAAGACTTTCGCGCCGCGATTCGCGAACTGATAGATTTAGTTGATAAACTCAAACTGCCGCGACGAATATACAAAGAATATGATTCTCTGAAGTACAGAAAAAAGATGTCGACCATGATGGGTACTGCTGGTCTCGCGCTGAAAAGTTGTTTAGGCGTTTTGGATGGTCTACTTCAATCCAGTTGCGGAGACTCATTGGAGGTGCCAGATGCCGTGTTTCAGCAGCAGGTCAGTGTTCTAGAGGCGCTGTACCGCGTACACGCGAGCCACATAGACAAGGATAGACCACTTCGTAAGCACATTCTAGAGTGCCAGGAACAAACTGGCACGCATGTGCTTCTCGACTACCAGTTAGCACAGAATTCCTACGAGCTGATTCCGAAATTGCGAGAATTGCAGAAACAGATGAGAGAAGCAGTCAGCAGCGCCGGCGGCCTTCTACTACTGCAACAGCCAAGTGCGCGACGATATCACGGCACTAGCAGGAGGTTTGTTGGAAAAAGTCAACGGAGAGTGACCTACCCTGAAGCACTGCATGGACGAAGGGAGCACCACATGTTGCAAGGAAGCTCTGCTGCAGCGAAGCAGCAATCGCTTCACTTCGCAGCTTCATCAGTGGGCGAAAACGTCTACGGAAGCGCGTCTTTGCCTTCTTCTGCATATCCACTGTGGCAACCTTGGCGGCCGCCTTACCAAAGCCACGAATCAGTTGCGCGGCCCGTGCCGCAAGTCACTAGCAGTCCTGGGAATCAGCAGTCACAGCCAGTCTTGTCGCCGTCACTTCAG